AATAAAAGAAAAACAGAGGGAATGGAAGCAAATACTGTTGAATGATGATGCATGAAGGAGATTGTAATTATTGCAATGAAATGATGGTGTAAAGCCAATGTTCTCCTATGTAAACTATCACTCAGTTCACAATAAAAAAAAAAAATGTTTTATGCATGTTAACAATCTGCTTTACATAAAATAAATCTTTTATATTTTACATTAGAATGTTCCACAAGTAAATAATGAAAACAGTGAAGTGTCAGCTAAAAAAGCAGAAGACACCATCCTACAAAAATCTAATTCTGGGCAAGAAATAAGAGAAGAAAATAGCATGAGTCTTTGTTCAGAAACTGAATGCAGAGAAAGGGAAGAAAAGAAAGAATGCCCACCTATAGGAGAAATTATTGTGCAAGGTAACCTAAGATTATATTAATATTTTCTAATGTATACATTGAGATGTTTCCCCCATAAAGTATTAGTCACCAATTAACACAATTATTTATTTATTATCACCTGCTCTATACAAAGCACTGTGTGTGGGGGCCTCTAAGAAATTCAGGGGAACATACAAATAACAAGCTTTGCTTTGATGACATCATAGCATATTTGGGCAAAACAATTTTTAATTTGTATATGCCTTAACAAAACAAACTACCTTCCAATTTTTCTTTAGAGTCAATGTTTTTAGGGAAAAATAATACATCTTGGTCTCCCTTCTTTGCCTTTTTCATTCTGGTTTCTGCCTTCACCACTTTGCTGAGAATATTCTCTGAGTCACCCATAGCCACCTGTTAACCAGATCTAAAGCACTTTTCTTGGTTCGAATGATCCCTCTGTAATCATTGAAATAATTTACTAATTCTTTTATCTTGAAAAAGAGTTGTTTAAAGATGGCACTGATTGTTGGAAGGTGTTCATACCTAGGCTAAACAACCACTTGGTGGAGATGTTGTAGAGAGAATGATTGTACTAAAAACAGCTGATTTAAGTTCTGAAATTTATATTCAGATTGCTTTGACTATATTGAAAACGTGGAATCTATGGTTAGAACATATATAGATAAATTAGTGTCTTAGTTAAGTAGATATTCTACATGCTTGTACAGACTATTTCAGAATTTTAAAATATTCAGAGAGTAAATAATAAATAGTAAGTAAGGAGCTCTGGTAGCATAGTGGTTACAAATCAGGCTGCGAACCTCAGGGTCAGCAGTTTGAAACTACCAGCTTTCCACGGGAGAAAGATGAGGCTTTCTGCTCCCGTAAAAATGTATAGCCTCGGAAACCCTGTACAGGGTTGCTATGAGTTGGAACCGACTCCACAGCACATAACAAAAACAATAAAAGTCAGTCTTGAAGAAACCAGCTAGCAATTAATCTTTATGCATGTATATCTAGAGAGAGACAGAGTTCTAATGTGGTACTGCAGGTTAATCAGTGGACTGAACCACAAGGTTGGCAATTCAAACCCACCAGCTGCAACTCAGAAACCCTATAGAGGGTCACTATGAGTCAGAACCCACTCGATGACTGACTCGACGGCATGTAACAATCACAAGTGGCCCATCATATGGTTTCTGAGACTGTAGATATTTGTAGGAGCAGAAAGCCTCATCTTTCTTCCACATTGCAGATGTGGGCTTGAACTGCCAACCCTGTGGTTCGCAGTTACATGCTTCTACAGAACTACCATGTTTCCTATATATATTTATATATGTTATTGTTAAGTGCTGTTGAGTCATTTCCAACTCAAGGCAACCCTGTATAGAGCTTTCAAGATGCAGCTGGTGGGTTTGAACTGTTAACCTTGTGGTTAGCAGTCCAGTACTTATCCTACAGTGTCATGCCAGGACCTTCTGCTTAGTAATATACATATTACTATGCAAAGGAACTTGGATGGAAATAGAAATTAGAGTATAAAATGTTAGGGTAAATTATTTTTGTATACAATTAGCAATGTATTTATATGGAATTATATTGTATGCCCAAAATGAAACAATAGAGAAATAAAAACCATTTGTAATCACCCAGGTTGCTTCCTTTAAAAGAAAAAAAATAAAACACTTGTTATGAAATAAAAAGTTAATATGGGTAGAGCCTAATATTTAACATGTTAAATATATACTTGTGACAATAAAAGGAACTCAATAGTTAAGCAAAACTGGTGCCATTGCATTCGTGTAGTTACTGAATAATGAACTATTTAAGGCTAATTAAGTCAGAATTGACTAGATGGTTCAGGACAGTAAGTGTTTTTTTTATATAAGAATAGGGATACATATGTTTTTAAAAAGGCAGGCTTTAGTATATAACACATAATTTTATTATGTTCTTATCATGACAGATTTACTACTTCTTGAAAAATACTGCAAGAATGAAATTGGTAGTGATGTACCTCAGGATGAAAATCAAAATGAAATCTCTCTAAGCAAAACAGTCTGCATAGATAAAGAATTAATTAGTCAAGGGCAAACCTTGAATGTTACAGACCTTAGGAAGTCAGTTACTACAGAAATTATAGACAAGGTGTGCTTGGAAAAAAACAATGGATATACAGAATTGAAATCACAAAACAGCCTTTTCTTAGTGGCTGATATAGCAATAGAAACCAAAATGATTCATGTAGAAAGTACGGAAGGATTAGATCATCACCATCCAGATTTACATCTGGAGGTTGAAAACAACAGAAAACCATTTGACAATATTTTAAATGAGTTGGAACACAATATAACTCATAATAAATATGTTTCTGAAAATGAACCATTCAAACAGCAATTTAGATTGCTTCCAGACACTCAAGAAAACTCTAAAGAGAGGGAAATTATAAATACTGACCAAAAAGCAGATTCATTTCAAGATATAAAAGAGTATCCTGTTCAGTGTGAGAAATGTAGTTTACAGGATTCAAGAAGCATTATGTCATTAGATAAACAATGTAAAATGAAACAAATACAACTCTTAAGTAAAAAAAGTGAATACAGCATATTGCCACTTAAACAAACTTCAGATTTTCAGCAAGTCTGTAATGATACTTCACAACAAGATGAACTGAATATTCCCTGTGACATAGCAAACAATTACCTGATGTCATCTGTTGTTTTCAGTGATAATTTGAAACTTCTTGAAAATTCAGATAAAAATGTTAATATTGTGCCTATGTTGGTAAAACCCAAGTCAAGTCCTAGACAAAGAACTCATTGGAAAAATTTGAATGAAATGCAGAGCAGTCAATTTAAGGACTGTATAGGATATGTAGAGAACAATAACATGAGTATTCCTCATTTTCAGACTAATGGTGAAAATATACATTCTCCACAGGCCAAAGATATGAAAACTGCTGTTCAAAGGAAAACTACAGCAATGCAGTTTTCCAGTAAGAATCAGACTGATGAGGATCAGATAACAGAAGACACAAAAATGAATGCTAATGAAAGACAGCACTTATTGTTAAATAATACAGAAAAAACAGAGTCATTAAACAACACTGATTCAGAAAAAATTTACATTGAAGGACAGCAGGAAGACTCATGTTCATTTCACATAAAGTCATGCAGAGATTTAGTAAATAGAGGTGGAAGGTCAGCCTTTGATCTTTCAACTTCAGATAAAAAAACTGAGAAAACTCCAGTATACTTGAAATTTTTAGATCCTGGTACTTGGTCAAAAGTAAATCCAATGGCAAGTAAAATAGTGAGCACTTCAGCTTGTAGCATTCTTTCATTGCCAAAGGAAAGACCAGTTGGTCCATCTGAAAACAAAAAGGTGGTTTCAGTGACACTTGGTAAAAACATTGGTGTGGATGAAGTTAGGAAGCATGTTGAACCAGGTACGAAAATAAGATTTGATATAAGGTTATATTTTAACTTAAAATTTGTTTTTCTACTTGTTATTTTTGATAAAAGACCTCCAAAAAGATTTTGTTTAAAATAATAACTTTCATAATGTTTTGTGCCCAAACCTAAAATATTATATATATTTATACCTATATTTATAAAAGTAGAAAAGATTTTATTTAAATAGAAATGGATTTTTTTCTCCCACAGAGTCTGGGCCAGTATTATCAACTGGTACTGTGGTACAATTGCATTTTGAAAATTCTTATTTTTTTATCAAAGGATTTAAAATATGAAAAACAACAATTACAGGTCCTTAATTATACATTAGGAATGACTACCTACTCTCATTTCCTTGTTACTTTCTAAAGCAAATACAGTGATGTAGTTGCTAAGACTTTAGTTTGTGTGCATATATATTCCCTTTCTTTCTATATTCTCAACACCTTTCAAAAACCTTGTTTATTCAGAATCACATTTTAGTTACCTTCCTATGTAGTTACCTTCTTCTGAAACTTTGCTTCTTTCATTTATTTTTCTATTTTTATCTGCCCTTCACCAATGCTGCCAACCCAGCTCATTCTTTTTTGTTTGTATTACCAAGTTATAATGCAAGATAATAATACATTTTATGTCACTAATATTTGTCACTACTTGAAACATTTTACCTGAGTATGTATCCATATTAATGTGATCAACTACTAAATACTTTAGAAAAGAGAGGTGCCATTTTATTTCTTAAATCTACCACATGAAATGACATAATGTCCAAGTTTTACTTTAAATACTCTAGGAAAAAATAAAAACAATAGAGGGCAGAGTAAATAGATGAAATAAGTCATATTGATGAGTATTGATACTGGGTGTTATGTTGAAGTTCATACTCTATTTTTGTATATGTTTGAAGTATTTCATAGTAAAATATTTAAAAATAAAAAATACTACAGATGAATAGGTATTGTATAAATATTAACTGAAGATAATTAGTTTTAGTTTAAGATGCATAACCACATATTTTAATAGCAATCTCATAGTCAAAGCTGTTGAGATTGGTCACCAGACTTATATAGGCTTTTTATTCAAAGAAAGTTGACAAAAATATTTAAAAATGTGTTTAAGGACTGAAAAATACCTATCTTGTAGAGGCAGGAAAAAATAGAAAATACCAAAACACTGTAAAATATCATTTCATAAATTTATAATTTTCTTAATATAACAAAATGTATTACTTCAGATTCTTTTAGAGTTTGCTTAGTGTTGCTTCAGGAACTAGCCTAGTGTTTAGCATTTTCTTACAGATAATTTCTTTTAAATTAATTGTCAATCATATAAATAAGATGGAAGTAAAATGTCTAAAATTCTGTTGAAATTCAACTAGTAAAATACTCTTAAACATACCACAAGTATCTTTAACCTATATAATTGACAAGACCCTTTAAATATTTTTTTACCTAGTTACAAAGCCCAGTAACTCCTGCTAGACAGTCCTTTTGGGGGCTTTTTATTATAGCCATTTTCTTATGGACTTTTAGTTGGTTTGGATTTTTGCCATTAATCTGAATTGGTGAGATGCTCACTATATAAATGTTTACATGTGTTGACAATGCAGTAGCCAGGGGAATAAGGAATAACATTTTATGTGAGTTATTGTTTTAGAAGATAATTATTTTTATACCATTTATTAATTTTTATGGGAAATTATAGTGAAGTTTTAGAAAATAGCAATAATAAAATCTTCTGTTTGTTTTAGGAAATGGAATGTCTAATATAAAAGCTAAGCTTGGAAAACTATAAAATATTGAGAATAAAATGAAAATAGAAATGGTTACTTTTTAAATACAAAATTATAGGATCAGAAAGTAACAAGTTTTCACTAAAATGAGTGCCTGGAGAATAAAATGCAGTTGTTGCCATTTCCTCTTTGTCAATCAGATACTACCAGAATTAACAGAGTTGCTGACACTTTGAATAACTCAAGTATCCACTCAGATCCCAAGGGAGAGCCCAATGAAGAGAGGAATGCAATTGCAAAGACTTTTTATGGTTCTTCTTTTCCCACAGAACACGTAAGTCAATTAAAAATATTGCCAAGCAGACTTTAGTGAGCTAATTCTACAGAAATGTGTAGAACTGTATGCATCTGGATGCTTTAAGACCTAACTGATCTCCAAAATAATATCAAGAGGGCAACATGGCACCATTTTTCACAATTAAGGTTGATGGAAAACAGCAGGAAAAAGTCACAGTGTATAAATCAAAGAGATATAATCCAGCCTGTTTTAGGCAGGAGAGTGTGAGGTAGCGTAGCATATTTTGTACTTCTAATTTTTGGTGACTTAAATTTAGGAATAGAGGCATTTGAACATTTATAAAAGATGATGCTTTAAAATAATGTAATCAACTAAATTCCATTGTTTTTTAGTAGTGCTTAATTTACACTATTTTTGGAAACTGTTGCAATGGAATAATTTTATTTAAAATTATTTCAGTTAGAGCATAGAATGTGAAAGGAACAAATATTTTTAATGTGATATGATAGTAAATTTGCATTTGCATATTTAAGCAAAGTATTTGAAGAGATTATATGGTTCCCAGGATTACATTTATCATATGAAAAGAAACTATCAACAACTGACTGTTTGGTTATATTTACAAGTTTTATATATTGCAGCGTGCAGAACTTTATCAAGAAAAAGGTTGGTCAAACTCTAAAAAATGACAAGTATAGGCTCAATGATAACAAGTGATCTAAATTGGTTATGAAAGATTACCTACTTTAAAGAATTGCATCAGGACAGACTTTAAGATCACTGCATACTGGAAATTTTAGCAATGCACAATAAACAACTTTGTCTCTAATACATAAAGAATAAAACTACAATACTAACACATCTTTGGAGACCTATTGTGGCACTGTAGGATAAGCACTGGACTGCTAATGACAAGATTGGCCACTCCTTGGAATCCCTACACAGGATCACAATGAATTGGAATTAACTTGATGGCAGTTAACGACAGTAGCAAAACAAAAGCACATCTTTAACAAATAACAGCTTTTAACAATAGATTTTATTTTCCTTTTTATATAGAAGAATCCTCAAGTGAGACTGTATATAGTCTTCCTCTGGGAGGGAAAGTTGAAACTAAAATCAAAATCTACCTCTCATCTTTTCAGTGATTGAGCTCAGTAACAACTTGGTCTGTGCAAGTGTATATCTTTACCAGCAATGACACACAACAGTAAACTTGACTTTAGGAAATTGTTAAGTTCTGACAATGGCCACCTGAGTAAGGCATAGACTCAAAACAAAAAGGAAACCTGAATGCATCAAGGCTAGAATTCACATTTAACAGGTCAAGTACTTAACACGTACTGGACTGTTGTCCTGTTTTCAAACAATTTAAGGGTCTAATGGAAATTTCACATCTTCCTTGAAAGCCCAGTTTTGTAGTCTATCTAAGGATGTTCATTGTACGTAATTCTGCATACAATTAATCTTGTTTTTAAGAAATTACATTTATAGAACTTGTAGCTTTTCCGAGATTTTACCAATTTTAGTCCCATAGTAGTCTTGTAAGGTTAAGTAGTTTTTTCTTCTTATTTTATAGATAAGAAAACATGATACAAATGTCAAAAATTTCCCCCCAGGTCATAAAGACACAATCTGCAATGATCTAGTTAGACTAAATATCTTGCCCTTTATTCAGCTTTTGTAATTGTTGTGACTGTTGTGTGTCTTCTAGTCAGTTCCAACTCATAGCGACCCTGTATAGGGTTTCCAAGGCTGTAAAGTTTAATGGGAGCAGAAAGACTCATCTTCCTCCCATGGCATGGCTGGTAGATTTGAACTGCTGACCTTTCGGTTTAGCAGCTCAACATGTAACCCACTACATCACCAGTGTGCCTATTTTTGTAATAGAGGAGGGAAAAAAAAAAGTTTTCTCAAAATACTGGTGCTGTGAACGAAACTCGGCTCTCTATTTACTAGGAGCCCTGGGGATATTATGGGCAAGCGCTAGGCTGCAAACAGAAAGGTGAGTGTTTTGAACTTACCAGCAACTCCAAGGGGAATCTGGTGACAATCTCATCCATAAAAATTGCTGTTAAGTGCCACTGAGTCTGTTCCAACCCATAGCGACCCTGTATAGCTTTTCTGAGGAGCAGCTAGTGAGCTTGAACCGCCAACCTTGCAGTTCAAACGAATTTGCAATCTGGCGCATAAACCCACAGCGCCACACCAGGACTCCCCATTAAGATTGGTGGTGGTGGTGGTGGTTATGTGTTGTGGAGTCGGTTCCGATTCATAGCGACCCTGTACAGGGTTTCCTAGGATATTCCATAGGGAAATTCTACTCTGTCAAATAGTGTCGCTGAGTCAGAATTGACACAACAGCACATTACAAGTGTTCATTACTATGTGCCAGGCACTATGTTGTTGTTGTTAAGTGCCGTCAAGTCGGTTCTGACACATAGCGACCCTATATAGGGTTTCCAAAGAGCAGCTGGTGAGATTGAACCACCGACCTTGTGGTTCAAACGACTTTGCAGTCTGACGCATTAGCCCACTGCGCCACACAAGGGCGCTAATAATTAAGAATCATTCTTCCAGCTTAAGCTTGATTGTTGTGTTGTTGTTAAGTGCTGTCAAGTTGCTTCTAACTCATAGCGACCCTGTATAGGGTTTCCAAGGAACCCACAAACTACTTCTTGGAAACCCTATACAAGGTCTCTATGAGTTGGAACCAACTCAACAGTACACTTTACAACAGTCATATTGAAATACTAATTAAGGTAATTCAGAGATCTTCACAAAGATTTATGAGTATTCTTTTTATCCTAATTTATAATTTCCCACATCTTTAATGTTCAGCAGGATTCAATTATGAAACAGAATATTATTCTATGAAGCCAGGCCTTTAACAAAGTAAAAAAATAAAAAATAAAAAAAATAACCCTGTAGGCACTGTGGAATAAACATTGGACTGCTAACTGCGGTGGCTCAAACCTAGAAGCTACTCTATGAGAAGGATGAAACTGTCTGCCTATGTAGATTGTCTTGAAAACCTTAGTGTCACTCTGAGATGGACCACTAGTCATTAGATTGTCATACTTGTGTGTTACTGTGATGATGGAAGCTATTCCATTGTATCTTAAAGGCCAGCAGAAGCACCCATAGCGGACAAGTTTCAGTGGAGCTTACAGACTAACACAGACTAGTACAGAGACGTAGACTACTTCTGAAAGGATAGTCTTTGAAAACCTTATGAATAGCATTGGTTGCCAAAAGATGAGCTCACAAGTTGGAAGGAACTCAAAATACAACAGGGGAAGAGCTGCGTCCTCAAAGTTAACACTGACCTCAATGACTTGGATGGAGCAAAGCTTTCAGGACCTTCATTTTGCTGGCAGAGCACAATTCAAAATGAGCACTCAGCTACAAACATCCATTAGTAATTGGAACGTAGAATACAAGGTATGAATCCAGGAAAATGAGTAGTCAACAAAACTTTAATGGAACACATAAGATCCATATCCTAAACACTACTGAGCTGACTGATGTGGGCCATTTTGAATCAATGGACCAATAAACTGAAGAGGAATGGTATCGCATTCACTGCCAAAAGGAGCAGTATGAGATATATCTTGAAGTACAATATTTCTGTGATAGGATAATACACTCATCTGTCAGTTTGTTGTACTGTGTTGGCTTGTGAGTTGCTGTGATTCTGAAAACTGTGCCACCGGTATTTTAAATACCAGCAGGATCACCCATGGTGGACAGGTTTCAGATGAGCTTCCAGATGAAGACAGACAAGGAAGAAAGAGTGACGAATTACTTCCAAATATTTAGTCACTGACAACCTTATGAATTGCAGAGAAACACTGTTAGATATAGTGCCAGAAAATGAGCCCCTCAGGTTGGAAGGCACTCAAAATGCGACCAGGGAAGAGCTGCCTCCTCCAAGTAGAGTTCACTGTGATGACACAAATGGGAGTAAAGGCCACGGGAACTTCATATTGCTGATAGGGCACAACTCAAAATGAAGAGAAACAGCTGTAAACATCCATTGAAAATCGGAACATGGAATGTACGAAGTATGAATAGGGGAAATTGAAAGTTGTCAAAAATGAAATGGAACCCATCAACATTGATATCTTAGCCATTAGTGAGCTGAAATGTACTGGTATTGCCATTTTGAATCTGACAACCACATGGTTTACTATGCAGGGAATGACAAATTGAAAAGGAATGGTGTTATATTCATTGTCAAAAAGAACATATCCAGATCAGTCATGAGGTACAATGCAGTATGTGATAGGCTAATATCCATGCACCTACAGGGAAGCCCAGTTAATACCACTATTATTCAAATTTATGCACCAACCACTAAAGTCAGTGAAGATGAAATAGAAGAATTCTACCAACTTCTTCAACCTGAAATTGATCAAACATGCTATCAAGATGTATTGCTCATTATTGGTGATTGGAATGCAAAGTTTGGGAGCAAAAAGGACCAGTAGTTAGAAAATATGGCCTTGGTGATAGAAATGATGCTGGAGAACACATGACAGAATTCTGCAAAAACAAATGATTTGTTCATTTCAAATACTTTCTTTAGACAGCATAACAGCTGACTATACACATGGACCTTACCAGATGGAATACATAGAAATCAAATTGACTACATCTGAGAAAAGAGAAGATGGAAAAGCTCCATATCATCAGTGAAAACAAGGCCAGGGGAAGAGTGTGGTACAGACCATCAATTACTCATATGCAAATTAAAGCTGAAGCTGAAGAAAATGAAAACAAGTCCACAAAAGCCAAAATATGACCTCAAATATATACCCCCTGAATTTAGATATCGTCTGAAGAACAGATTTGATACATTAAACACTAAAGACTGAAGACCAGAAGTGTCGAGGTCCTATGTCAGGGTCCCGCCTCGACAAGGAAGTGTGGGTGTCACGAAGAAGGGAGATCTGGC